GACAGGTGGGAGAACCGGTGGGCAATGGGTGGAGGAGGAGGGGCGCGCCATTCCTGAAGAAGGGAGAAGGAGGATAGTGCAGTGGTGTGAGGGGTGCCGAGGCAGACGGACAGGCGGCGCGAGAGCGCAGTCCCACTCTGGTGGCGTCTCCAACCCTGGGCAAGGCGGCCTGGGCTGTCTGACCCGTGCTAGGCAGGTCTCCCCACGAGCCAAGCCCCCACCCCCGTTCAGTAGGTGATTTTATTTCGGGGCTTCCCCGGGTTCGCGACGCCCAGGGACTGATTTTGCGCCTGGAGATTAAGATCATTGCTCGCGTAATGAATTCTTTAGGGTAGAGGTGAGTGTGCGCGCAAGTGGGCCGGGGTAGGAATCACCCACCCAATCGATGAGAGACTGGCTTAAAACGAAATGCCTTTTCTCCTGGGTTTTGCCTCCCTGACGTCGCCACAGTGGGCAGAGCGTGCGGGGCTGTGTGAGGTGGGGCGAACTGCGGCGCGGCTAACCTGAACCAAGGCCTTAAGGGTGCCCCTACTTCCCCATGGAGACCCCCGGGATACCCATTTTTAAGCCCAAGACTCTTTAAAGCGCAAACATTGCTCAGTGTGTTGTTTGCTTTTCCTTTCAGCTCCGCCTGGAAAAGAAAATGTTTCCGACATATTATTGGGAAGGTCGGACTGAAGGGGGAAACTTCTCGCCTCCGCCTTTATCAGCCGCCCCTCTCGAGATCCCTGGCCTTGGTGGTCTCTTCCGGGACCCAGGCTACCCTGCGCGCTACGGACCACCTCACAGCCAGTAGGTACCAGGTGGCAGGGGCAGGAGGAGTGAGACACAGCACGGCAGGGCGCCCCACTGGCCGCTTCCATGCCGCTCCAGCCGGGGTCCGAGCGCCTCCTCGGGGCTCTGCGTCACCGTCGCTGTGTTGACTTTACTGCTTTCACGTGGGCCCAGGGCCTGCCTGGATCTGAAAGGCAGGGAAAGTGGGCAGAGGCTTTAAGATGATCCCGAGCCTGGGGGACCGTCGATGGCTCCAGAGCGAGACACCCCCGGCCCACCAGGTGGGCGCTATGCGGGTGTCACTGTCAGAGCCGCTCCCGCCCCCGCGCACCGCCAGCTCAGCATGCTCGGGTCACCGCCACACCCAGGTCCTGCGGAGGACAACTGAGCCCACCTCAGGTTCATCCATCACAAAGGCCCTGCGCCGTCCTGGGGGTTGGGGCTCAGGTCCCCTAGCAGGAGCCTTCTCCTGCCTTCTGCTGGGACCTGGGCTCGCTCTGGCCCAGAGAGGAAGTCAGCAGCACCTTAGACCTGACTTTCAAGGTGAGGGTGGGGGCGATGTAGGAGACCAACCAAGGAGTCAGAGGCCCCCCCCCCCAAGTGCTCAGTGCAGTTGTGCGGCGCCTGCCCGCCCCGTTTGCCGGGCCCCGCTCGCTGCTGGGCGCAGAGGACAGTGCCTTTTTGGGCCTTAGCTGGGTCGTGGGGGGGGGGTGTGAGGGGAACTTTCTCTCCGGGCCCCTCAACCCAGCTTAGTCCCAGGTCACCTCCATCTCCCCTCAATCCGCGGGACGCAGGCTAGGGGAGAGGGGTGGCGCACATCGCAACCCAATCTGAGCGCAAATTCTGCTCCCCGCGTGAAGATGTCGGGGTGCGCCTACGTCGACTTCGCTGTGAAGTTTCCCAGTGGGCGCCGGTGACCTGGGTTCGAAGCGCGCGCAAACGCGCGCGCACCGCCCCCCCTCAATCCGGGACCCCGCGAGCTCAGCGAACCGGAGCACAGCGGGGACCCGGCCTTCCTGGATTCCCCCCACCCATCCCGGCTCCTTGAGGGGCGCGCTCTCCCCGAGGCGAAACTCGCTGGCCCCGGCTAGCTGCAAGGAGACACCCGCTGCCTCCCGAGCAACTCCTAATACCATCCATACAGCTTTAATGCGTTTATAATTCGATAAGTGATTTCAATTTGAAATTGTTAGTAACTAATTTTATGGGTAATTTTTCCACATCAAATATTTAAGCATCAGATTAAGGGAGCCAGTTCCGACACAGGATAATAAGGGGGTTTCCCCCCACCCCGGGCGCCTCCGCCTCCCGGAGTTTCCTACCGAGTCGTTTTTCCAAATCCCCAAAAGATGGCAGTCGAAGCCGGCGTTCCTCTTTCCCGGTGGCTGCGCGGGGAGGCGGGGAGAGCCGGGGAGGCGGAGGGAACAGCGGGCGCCCCGAGAGGCCAGGCGAGAGGGGGCGGGAGCCAAGGCGGCGCACGACTTTCCACGCTCATTCTTTCACACGTTTCTAACCCAGGCAGTCCTGGTGAATTTCCTGAAAATGTCCTGGCTGGAAAGAAAAGCCAAAACGCGTGCCACAGGGCTAAGGGCTGGGGGTTGTGAGTTCCTCCGCACAGTCAGCCCTTCACCGGGACTAGGGGACCCCCGGCGGGCGGGGGGGGGGGGCGGCGCAAGCCAGCCTTGGAGCTGCTTGCCTGGATTTGCACATCACAGACACACACTGCGCCACCAAAAGCTGGTTTCCTTTGGAGCTGGGCTGCGCAGGCCGCCTCGCTGGAGGGGAAAGACCCGGTGGGGAGAGAGATGGGGGGCTGGGGCAGAAGGGCATGAATTGCACACCAGTTGCCAAAACTTTTTTCCCCTCCCCTCCCGGGCGCTGCGGCTGCGGCTGCCATGGCTGCTGCTTTTGCTTTGAATGTGGGTAACTAGGAAACAGCAAGCCGTCTGAGAAGACGGAATTTCCAACGTGTAAAATGTTCTTAACGGAACCATTGAGCGAGTGCAATAAGGCGTGAGGGGGAACTAATCTTCCCATTTAAATGTTTGTGGCAATTTTATCTAAATGAATTTTAATGCTAAACGAGGGTAATTCCCCATTTGTAGCGCGTTTACTTCTCTTTCCTGTGCTTCTAAAGCAGTTGAACATCATGCGATGAACAATAACAATAAAAATACTGTCAAGGCATATTACTCATTTTGACTGTGTTATAATTACAATTGATTAAATATAAGAAGGTAAAATATTTTTAATTAAAAAAATAAATCATGATAAGAAGTTGCCTCGTTCTGTCGGCACCCCATCTCCCCCATCCCCAAATAAAAATATAAAAAGCAGGTACAATTGTACCCGTGTTTGGGGGGGGGGGCGTCTTGGTTTTGCCTCTTAAAACTTAAACACTGTCAACTTCTCCATCATTTCCTCCTTTCAAATAAGGGTCCTCGATCACCTCACAGCTGGCTCTGAAATTTCCAAGAAGAGAAGCTAAAATCGCATCAGGGGAGTGGGGGACCCAGAAGGGGCGGGCCACGAGCAGGGGCGTAGGCAAAGAACACACTTTGTTTTTCTTTTTCTAATTGACTCGATATTAACGAGCATGACTCCCGGTCGTCTGCACACCCCCTCTGCACACTCCACACTACCTATTCCTGCCCCAGCCACTCTTGTCCCCTGGGCCACCCTCGCCCCCTCAGCCTGCAGCCGGCCTTAACCATCCCTCCCCCATGGAGTCGGAACCTCCAACAGAAGAAAGGCTGCAAAAAACCACCTCACCCGGCCAAGCACCAGCAGGAGGGGCAGATGCAAGGCTGTTTTATAAAGTTTATTATTAATTTTAAAAGTAAATAAATGGTTGTTAACTGCTAGTAACCACCTAGCAAAAGAGAAAGGCTTCCCTAATAGGGACTATTTATATAGACCAAGCATCGCCGCTGGGTCCGAGTGGGAACTGGGAGGCCCCCCCTTGCAGGGTGGGGGTGGGGATGGGGAGGGAGTGGCCGGGCGCGCGGGCGCAGGCCGTTCTGGCTGGAGCCCCTGCGGCTCTCTGCGCGCCCACGTGTTTGGAAACAAGGGCCGATCAACAAAAGGTGAGATGCGCGCTGCTGCTCCTGCAGGTGAGCCAGTCAATCACAAGTCACCTTGTAAACCCAGTGCGCAGCTGGCTTCTCTTTTCAAGTAGAAAATAGAATTGTTGAGGGCGGGTTTATAGGGTGACACAGGCCTGAGTGTCAGGCTTGAGTTTAAGGCCTCGCCACAGCCCCATCCATTGTTTAGGTAGCAATCACTGCTTAAAAGGCTAAGCATTTTTTTTAAAGGAAAAACCAAACCAAATTTGCCTTAATTAAAATGTTTGTCTGTTTTCCTTAGCTTCCACCAAGCACTCTTTATAGCAGCAATTTTATTTAAATAAAATTATAAGCTATTCCAGCTTAAACATGTTATTTTGTACCATTTAGCCGGCTGCCATGCAGAAATTCTGTACAGCTGTTCTGGAAAATTGGTTAATAACCAGTTTTTATCCAATGAGAACATAGAGCATATTTATAAAAATTAGATTCTGAAGTCTGGTCTCTTCAGTTCGCGTAGTTAATATCCTAATAAACATATACCACTCACCCTAGCTAACATCCTTAGAAAAAGACCCAGCTCTGTACTTGGAGTCATCGTCCATGGGAGGGTAATTTCTGATATTAGATGACTCATTCTCTTGTATGTCATGAATATAGTTCGTTTATTGCCCTTAGGCCCTAAATTTGCTGATATTAACTGTTCATTAAGTCAGTTTAAAGAAATAGTGATTCTTGTTAACTAATTTACTTTGTGGTTAAAATTTTCAAAGAGATATTGTCTCAGGGTGTTAAAATTAATTTTCCTATTTACTGCATTTCTCATTAAAATTTGGGGGTGGGCAGTAAACAAATTGTTCAAGCAGTGGAGTCCATATGACAAAAATAATCTTGTTTTTATTTTAGATTCCGATTTCATTACTGCACTCAAATTACTACAACTGGGATTGGCGTTATTATACAATCCAAACTGTTTCCGTCAGAAACACGAAGACTCAGTGTGCAATGGTTGTTATTAATAATTAGCTCCTTGGTTTCTTGATAGAAAAAGGCTATCAACAAGCATTTGTTTATCCACAACAAAAAGTATAATTAGCTTATCCCACTTAGTAAATCTTGTATGCATGCCAACTCATACCAAACGGTTACTTTTACAAAAAAAAAAAAAATTTGCAATAATACAGTTC